GTCCAGACCTGTTTCTCCCTCTCCTTTCATAATCCTCCTGTTCCTCCCAGCGGGCTGCTCCTGATGTCATTTTCTGTCTCTTGTTCTTAAGAAATACTAGGATGTCATTAAGACAAAACCTTTTCTCATGTTACCTTGATTTTCCTCCAAGTCCCAGCCCCACAGTGGCCAGGAGTCTAAACAGTATAAGCCAGAGATATCTACAGACAATGAACACCCCTTTGTCTGCCCAGTGGGGGTCCTGTCCATTCTGCAGTACCCCTGCCACACTTGTCTGCTGGACCATTATTATATGGCTTATGTTGTTGTTCATGCTAATGATTTTGTCTCTGCAATTAAAAGCCAACCCTTACTTTGCATGGATGGGGCTGGGGGAGATTCTGACCACTCCCAGCCGGGGTTCCCTTCCCTCTATTAACCAGGGAGGACTTGCTGAGCCACAGTGAGGAAGGCATAGAGAAGCTCCAAGGTCTGAAGTCAGAAGGTAAAGACTCTGGGGTAGAGCACAGGTATGAGAGGTAGGGGAGCCCCTCTGTGTCCCCTCAGCTGACAGCACAGGGACTGGTCCACAGACACTAGGGGTACCTTCTCTTTGCCCTTTCCCTTGATCCCGGTGCTCTCTTTCCTCAGGAGTCCCTGCTGAGATAGGGGTGAAGGAAGGGTGAAGGGAGCTTGCCTTGAGATATAAGCCAAACTCTTTTTAGTCTGATCCTGAATCCCCAGGAGCCTGGCAGAAGCTGGCAGGAAGCCAGGTTCAGGGACTATCTGATGTTTGCCAAGGGCCTGGACAGGAGAGTAAGCATTGCCTATGGCTCAGGCCATTGATTTACTCTGTACTGATTTAGAATTTGGAGTCCTGGTGTGACATGTAGGGTTACTATGAATTGAAACCAACTCCAGGGCACTTAACAACAACAGCAACAAACTTTAAATTGAAGTCCTGGTGTAGCGCTGTAGGATAAGTACTGGACTACTAACCATAAGGTCAACAGTTCAAACCCACCAGCTGCTCCATGAGAGAAACATAAGGTTTTTCTGCTCCAGTAAAGATTTATAGCCTCAGAAACCTTAAACAGGGTCACTATGAGTCAGAACTGACTGGACAGCACTTAACAACAACAACAATTTAGAATTTGGCCTGGGCAATGTGAGGGTGTTAAGAGTCTTGTCCCGTACTTACAGTTTTTCCAGCAGGCACCTTTCCTGGGCTAGGTAACAGAACAGTGGACAGTGATCCAAGATTGTTCCAAGCTCACTTGTCCCTCTCTCCCCTTTGTTTCTAAGCTCTGACTCAGTGATCCCGTATAGAGTTTTCAAGGAGCAGCTGGTGGGTTTGAACCACCAACCTTGTAGTTAGCAGTCCAATGGCAATCCTCCAGAGCCACACCAGGGCTCCTGAAATCTGTCCCTGGTGGAGTTCAAGTTCTGATGCTCATTATCATATTCATCAACAGTAATCAGGGGCCTGCTGGGAATGAAAGCCCTCCTTGGGCTTCCCTGGCACTCTGCAAATGACAGTGGGGGTGGAGCTGGTCAATGCTAAACCTGCAGCCTAAGACTAGAAGGAAGGAGGATATGGGGGAAGTTGGTGGTAGGCTGAGGCCCCTGGTAGTATCCCTGGTAGTATCCCTGAGTGATGTAAATGGTCCATGCTGGCTGCTAACCGAAAGGCTGGATGTTCAAGTCCACCCAAAGGCACCTAGAAGAAAGGTCTGAAGATCTATTTCTGAGAAAAAAATCAGCCATTGAAAACCCTATGGAGCACAATTGTAGTCTGACACACACGAGGTCACCAGGGGTCAGAGGTGACTACCAGCAACTTGTTGATGGGAAGGAGAAAGTGTTGGTGAGCTTCCAGTCCCCCTCAGCTTGGTCAGGGACAAGCAAGACCCACCCACCACTCTGCTTCTTAATCTCACATGGATGAGTGGGATTCCAAAGCAAGATTGTAGAGGCAGGAACAATGTTCACTCTATGACTTACTTATTTATTCTCATTTGTATGAGTAGAAACACAGTAGGCACCTCAAGCCCATTACAGCCCAGATATTAGGACTCCGCATGATGCCAAGTAAAAGAGGAAGCTATTCTAAAGGGATATGAAGAAAAACATTACACAGTGATGAATGTGGCAGAGGTTGTCACAGGGCCGTGTCCACAGTGGGAGTCTTGGAAAGGGCAGTTTCACCATCCTCATCCTGTTCTCTTCATTCCTGCAGCAGCCTCCACTTGCCTACCGTACTACATCCTGCCCACCTGTAGCATCTTCTAAGCCCAGCCTGACATTATCCACTGTGTGGCTTCAGAAGTTTCTCTTAGCTTTTCATTGTATTTCCTAAATCATGTTCCTCAAAAATAATGCTGTATGGTCAAGAAGAAAGGTATATTAGTTATATGTTGCTGTATGAAAAAAAAGGATGCCAAAATGTAGCAGCTTAAAACAATAGATATTTCATATCTCACGCAGTTTCTGAGAGTCAGAAATCATGGAGCAGCTGATGTAGGTGGCTTGGCTCAGTCTCTCCTGAGGCCTTAGTCAAGGTGATGTCTGGGGATGCGGTCATCTAATAGCTTGACTGGGGCTGATGGATCTGCTTCCAAGATAACTCACTAACATGACCAGCAAGTTGGTGCTGGCTGTTGGCAGGAGGACTAAGTTCTTCTCTGTAGGATTGTTTGGGATTCTCAGCACATGGTATAATGTGCTGAGAATTTCCTCCAGAACAAGTGATTCAAAAGAAAGAACAAAGGAGAAGCCACAATGACTATGATTTAACCTTCAAAGTCATTTGCTAAATTCTGCCGGTCACACAGCCCAACCCTGATACAATATGGGAAGGGCATGAATACTAGAAGGGATCATGGAGAGTCATTTTGGAGACTGGCTACCCAACGTGGGAAGCACAACCTGAGCCAAGTCCAACAGAGACCAATCCTGCAGAGTGTCCCAGGGCCCTGAAGAAGCCAGGAGAGATCCAAGGAGCACACTTTGGAAGACCTTGACTCAGAGAGGAAAGTCCAAATGCCTTGGCCTGACTTTTGTGGCCCCTGCACATCACCGTTTGGAATCAATGATCCAGTAACACCACACTTAGAGCCATCTTATATATTGTTCATTCTACCCTTTTGCCTCATCCACTGTTGAGAACCTATTTGCTTTTCTTTTCATTAGACTTTTTGTGAATTGAGTGGAGGTTTATAGAGCAGATCATCAGTTTTACGTTCAACAAATCATATACTTCATTTCATCTCAGTAATTACAGTCACCTCCATGCAACATCGCTTATCCCACTTCCTCTCTGTGTTTCTTGTTTCCATTCCTCCTTTCCCACCCCTTCTGAACTTTGTCCTTGGGTAAATGCTGCCCTTTTGATCTTCAATGGCTGACCATTCTATGTTGTGCGTACCTCACTAGTGTTGTTGACCCCTCATCACTATATACCTATTACTTGGTCGAAAATTGAACTGTGAAGGTGAGTTTTGTTCCAGACCTGAAAGGTGACCAAGGGCCATAGACTCAGGGATCTGCCAGTCTCTGTCTGACCAGTAATCCTGGTCTTTTTTATGTCTTTGACTGTTGTTCCAATTTTTCTCCAACTCTCTCCAGGACCGTCTAATATGATTCCTTTCAGAGAAGTTGGTTGTGGTAGCTAGGTACCATCTAGTTCTTTTGGTCTCAGTGTTGTAGAGACTGATGTTCATATGGTCCATTAGAAAGCCTATTCATTTTTCAAGGCTGGTGTCGTGGTATGGCTCTGTGAGTTAATGCGCTAGACTGCAAAGTCGGTTTGAACCACAAGGGCGGTGGTTCAAGCTCACCAGCCACTCCTTGGAAACCCTATATAGGATTGTTAAGGGTCAGAACTGACTTGATGGCACTTAACAACAACAAAAACAATTTTCATGAAGTCTTCGCCTCATTTCTCACAGGGGGAAAAAAAAATCCCTTCTGTAATTTTTATTTGTTTGCTTGTTTAATATAGCAATATTGTAGGGGTATCTACTACTTAAAGAGCCCTGATAGCGTTGTGGATTACCAGCTGGGCTGATAACCACAAGGTCAATAGTTTGAATTTACCAGTTGCTCCACAAGAGAAAGATGAAGCTTTCTGCTCCCTTAGAGATTTACAGCCTTAGAAACCCTGTGCAGGGTAGTTATGAGTCAAAACCAACTCAATGGCACACCACCACCACTTGGTCTTGTGTTCTCTGTATCTGCCTTACTTTTTCTTTCCAGGCATTTACCTCCAGCCCCTCATTGCTTAGTATCTCATTGGAGTTCAGGAAACATTTGTGGAATAGAGCCTTGTTTTTTCTCTTTATCCTGTCTTCACTCCAGCCTTGCTTCTGGGAATGGTTTCTGATAAGTCAGGTGAAAGCCCTTGGTGAGGCCCACTAAAAGGTCCTCCTGCCCAAGGGAAACAATAGTTATTTTCCCCAAAGTCTTGTGGCAGGTCCTCTATACCTAGGGAGGGTCTTCTCTGCCTCCAGTCATAGTCCAGGCTGGGCAGACTAGTAGCCCTGAGCCAATTTAATGTCTTTGAGAGTTTGATGACCACACCACCAACTTGTAGACATCAGTCTTGGCCAGGATACAGTGGGATATTTGTCACACTACCATCCAAATACTCCTGGGTGCCCTAAAGAGATGAGATGGGAAATGAACTGATGGATTGTTTTATCCATTTGGTTTTGGAGAGCAGCCTTTGTTAATGTGGAGCCCAAGAGAAAAACCTGGGAGGGGGCCTGGGAGGGATGCCTGCCTTCCTGGAAGTCACCTCTGGTTCCCAATGGAACAGGTAGACATCACCTTGATACTGAGGCCTCTGGCTGAAACCAAGATGGCTCTGGTCAGGACAAAAAACATCTGTCTGATTTGATTTCTTGCCCAAACTCTTCACATATCAGAACCAGATCTGGGCTAACCCCCCTACCTAGCCAGAGGCTTGGAGTCTTCCTCACCAGAAAGGGTGGTTTTGCAGCTACTTTCCTCCTCTGCAGTGGCGTAGGCCTGGCACGAGCACATTTTGAGAAGCAGCCCCCCTCCAACCTCAGGAAATCCAACTTCTTCCACTTCGTGCTAGCCATGTATGACCGGCAGGGGCAGCCTGTGGAGGTGGAGCGCACAGCCTTCATTGACTTCGTGGAGAAGGACCGAGTGAGAGGCTCGTGGGCTCACTGAGATGGGGTCTGGGGTGGGATGGGAGGGTCTGAATGGATAGATGTACTGGCGGGTGGAGAAGTGTGAGTGAGTAGATGGGAGGATGAGTTAGGGAAGAGGGTGAGGGGCAGAGAAGAATGGAAAGTCCCTTGGAGCATCAGAGCATCCTCCTCATCTTGTCCCTACAGGAGCATGGAGCCGAGAAGACCAACAATGGGATCCATTACCGCCTCCGGCTGGTGTACAACAATGGTAAGTGGAGCCCCCTGCTGCTCCCCCTGAACCAGAGGAAATCTGGGTACCTGGTGTGACACATGATGCCCCTGTGGTCAGGGCTGAGGAGGCCTCTGAGCACCAGGTGGGAGGTGTGGGGTGTGGTCTAGCCTTCAGAGACCACAAATCGTCCCAACATAACAATCCTTCACCACTTTCCCCACTAGGACTCCGGACAGAACAGGACCTCTATGTGCGCCTCATTGACTCCATGTCCAAGCAGGTGAGCCACCCTGGAGGGTGTTCGGGCCCCCTCTGCTCGGGAGCACCCCTGTCCTGAGTGTCCATTCTTGTCCCTGTCCCCCATCCTCATCAGTCTAGCCCATCCCCATTCCACACATCCAAGATGTGTGACTCTTGCGCTCCAGACCAGAAACATCTGAACAATGACCATTCGCTAGTTCATGTTCCCTAGAGCCCAGTCTGAGCTGTGGATTCAGGTGCACATAGTTTAACGGGGTGGCTGGGGGTGCTCACAGAAAAAGGGGAGTGAGGAAAGCATAGTAGGGCAGGGGAAAGGACTGAGCAGGGGTGTGGTTTCAGCTAGAGTCCAGCCTCTTTGAGGACTCTGGAGAAGGAGTGATACCAGGGTTACCCATACCCACCCCACACCCCACTTTGGGACAAGACAGCCAGGGTTCTGTATCCCTGTGTCAGCCAGTCTTTGGCTGGGGACTTCTCCTAAGAGGAAGGTGTGCCTACAAGACACTTCTGAAAAGGCAGCTGCCATCCACTGGGAGCAATTCTCAAGAGCAAACTTTTAGCTGCCCACACTAAACTGTAGCTGAGAGATGAGTGCTCTGGTCTGTAAAAGGACCTGAGTGGAGCCCCAAAAGCTTCTAATACCCTCATCTACCACCTTGATGGTAAGCAAGGTCTGAAGAAGGGATGGTCTCGGGGCAGTCAGAACTCTTTCCTTCTCTCCTTCATCCCTTCCTCCTGCCCTCCTTTCCTTCATTACTTCCTTCCTTCTTCTCAAGCATTTATGGAGTACTACAGTGTGCCAAGCACAGCCTAAGGAGTTCTGGGAAATTGAAACCTGAGTAAGACTTAATGGATTCTAATGAGGCAGGGCCCCAAGTCTCCTGGCTTTTCAGGGAAGTTGTGAATGCTGGTAAGGAAGGGGGTTTGGTCTCCAGTGGGCCAGATTAGTGGTCCAGGAATGAGAGGCAGGGTCTCTTAGAAGCCTCCACAGGACATCAAGACAAAGGAAGAAATGGTTAATTTTCAGAAAGGCTGTGGGAAGTCAAAGAGGAATTTATTGTTGTCCTTGAGTCAATTCTGACTCATGGTGGACCCATGTGTGCAGAGTTGAGCTGGGCAGTGCTCTATAGGGTTTTCAGTGCAGTGACCTTTCAGAAGCAAATCTCTAGGTCTGTCTTCCAGATCATTTCTGGATGGGTTCAAACCACCCGTTTTCCAGATAGTAGCTAAACACTTGGTTGTGTATGTCACCCAGAGGGGAAAGCCAGGAAGCCCAGGGGATTATAAACTGGGAAGCCAGGTTTGCAGTTTAGGAAGCTCACTCCTTCCTTCAGAGCCCAGAGTGGAAACTGGGAAGTCCATGAGGAGGCTGATCCAGTAGTCCAAGGGGGACGTTCTGGCCTGAGCTGAGGAAGGAGGAAAGTAGTAGGGTCCCTGGAGACCGATTAGCTGCCAGGCAGAGTCAAAAGGACTACATCTGTGAAAAGGAGGCAGACATCCACTGTTATTGTTGTTAAGTGTAGACAGTTGGACTCATAGCAACAAGGAGTGACTGGTGGGTTTGAACTGCTGACCTGGTGGTTAGCAGTCCAGTGCTTATCCTATAGCACCACACCAGGAATCCAGAAGTCCATCATTATTGTTATTGTTAAGTGCCATTGAGTCAGTTCTGACTCATAACAACACTGTATAGGGGTTTTGAAAAGTGACAGGGAAGTTGGAACCGCTGACCAGGCGTGGAAACAGCCTGCACATAGGAAGGTGCTTGGGTGAGGGGAGGAGCATGATGCAGGGTGGGGATAGGAGGATGTCCCCATCTCACCAGTTCTTGTGATCTAGGGGAGCTCCTTGTCCCATGCAGAACTGGCCCCGCAAATAGCTGCCTGCAAGCAAGGAGAATCTGCAGACCACATGCCATTCTTGGCCATGGTGGCATGGTCTTAGTTTAAGAGCAGAATTCCAAGCTAGTGCTTTGCTCTCTTGGACCCCCCAGAGCAAGGGGGGGGGGCATGGTCTTACCCTGGGGCAGGGCCTCCTTTAGTCCCAGCCCCTGCAACCCACACACTTCTCCCTCCATAGGCGATCATCTATGAGGGGCAGGACAAGAACCCCGAAATGTGTCGAGTGTTGCTCACCCATGAAATCATGTGCAGGTGAGGTGGGCTGAGTCACAGAATTGGAGGAGGAGGGAGGGATCACCTAACTGCTTTGTTTCTAAGGACTTCCACCAGGTCCCGCCTCCTATGCTACTCCCTGGGGAAATCTGGTGGGGGAAGGTATAGGAGAAGAATGAGCCCCTGGGCACTGCGAGGCCTGAGAACAGGGTCCTTGAGGCCCCATTAGCCTGCCCTGTTTATGTGGCTTCTCCAAGTGTTGTTATAAGAGAGGCCTCCTGCTAATACTGCTAAACTTCACTAATAAAGCTCAGGGGAGAGGCTCCCTAGGGAGGTGGGGGCAGGGCTTGGGCCAAGTGACACCCAAGGGCCACTGGAATTAGCTCTGAAGCAGGAGGAAGGAAGCTGCTGCTTCCCAAGTGAACCTCAGCACACAGAGAAGGTGGGCAGCTTCCAGGGCATACAGCTCTTAGCTCCCTCATACCCATCACCTTTGTTGTTGTTGTTAAGTGCCGTTGAGTTGGTGCCGACTCATAGTGACCCTGTGTAGAGTTTTCAAGGAGCAACTAGTGAGTTTGAACTACCAGCCTTGCAGTTAGCAGTATAGTACTTACCCTACGGCTCCATACCAGGATTCCCCCACAGCCCCCCATCTGGGGAGCCTCAGAGGCAGCTCTCTGTGAATGGAAAGAGAAGAATGCTCAAGAATGTGTGGTTGGTACTGCAGCTACATTTTGGAGGGACATGGCAGGGAGACAACATAGGTGCTTCTGGAGTACTGGTCACATGGTTTTTCTTGAACTGCATGATGGTTACACAGATGGGATCCCTTTGTGATAATTTATCAAGTGGCTGGTTTACATTCTGAGCCTCGTCTTTGTGTAGATTGTGCTTCAGTAACAGTGTACAGAGACAGGCTCTGGAAGTGACCTGTTGTCTGCCCTCTTCTGGGTCCTATGAGCAATGCCTTTGTTCTTCTGGACATCCTTATCCCCAGGCTGGGCTCTCGATGTCCCTAGGAACTCCCTGTTCTCCTCATGGCCCTGAGAATGGCAGCATCCTCACTCCCTCACGCATGCGTGCGCGTGCATACACACACACACACATACACACACACACTGTAATTTCTTCTTTACTGCCTTCCTCCTTTCCATCCTTCCTTCAGCCGATGCTGTGACCGGAAGAGCTGTGGTAACCGGAATGAGACGCCCTCAGACCCCGTCATTATTGACAGGTACGACTAGGGGTCTGGCTGGGGGTGCTGCAGGACCTGGTGGGCTGCAACTACAGAGCACTGTGGCTCCAGGGAGGAGCTGAGCTGCCCATCCCCTACCAGGATCCCCATGTTGGTGGACCCCTAGTGGAGAGAAACTGTCAGGACCGGGAGCAAGCAATCATGCCCTCTGAGGGAGGTCCCTGGTGGCAAACTTTCTGGCCTGGGTTTCAAAGTTGCCTCCTTTGATGGGACTGGGGAAGAAGGAGGTGAGCTGCTGTATAGAAGGAGGCTGCGAAGATGGCAGGACTGGCATGCGCATGTCAGGGAGAGCTGGGTTCTAGTTTTGTTATATCACTTTACATTATTTGACATAACTTCTCTGAATGTCTATTTCCTTCATTAGAAAAATGGGGAAGTAGTCGGCAGGTTTCAATCATAAGATTGCCAAGGTGATGCATGTGAAAATGCATCCTCCCACCAGAATTTTTTTAAATGATTTTATTTCTTTTTGAATAGGAGCGTCATATAAACGTACTGCCGTGGAGTCAATTCTGACTCATAACAACCATATAGGACAGAGTAGAACTGCCCCCATAGCGTTTCCAAGGCTGTATGTCTTTATGGAAACTGACTATCACATCTTTCTCCCATGGAGCGTCTGGTAGGTTCAAACCACTAACCTTGTGGTTAGCAGCTGAGCACTTTAGTCACTGTGCTACCAAGGCTTCTTGGGGATTCATACACAACACAATAAATTCAACAGGTACAAACAAGAGTAAATAATGGAAAATAACTCAGTCTCCCACCCCTACATACAGTATACTTCTGTTGTTATTCTTAAAAAACAACAGCAACAACATACCAAACCCATTGCCATGCAGTTGATGCCGCTCATGGAGATCCCATGTGTTACAGAGCAGAACAGCTCCATAGGCTTTTCTTAGCTATAATCTTAGCAGAAATGATTGCCAAACCTTTATTCTACAGCACTACTGGGTGGCTTCCAACTACCATCTTTTAGTTTAGTAGTCAAGCACAAACTGTTTGTGTTAACTAACAACTTTCTACATATTCATTCACACCTTACTTTTTCTGAAAACAATATCTCTTAGAGCTCATTCCATATCAGAACATAAACCACTGTCTTATTGTTCTCTTAATAGATAAAACACATGTTTCAGAAATTCAAGAAATTTCAAAGAATTTAAAACAAGAAGGCTCTCACCCATCTATTCTCCTCCAAATAAGCAGACTTTGTTATCACTCTCTTATGTATTCTTTCTGAGGTCATCTGTGCATATACAAGAAAATATAGACACTTATTATTTTTGTATCTCTTACCTTTCTTTTTGTAAACATGGTGGTATGCTAAACATACTTTCAACATTTTCTTTTTTTTCACTGAACATTACACAAGGGGAATTTAAGAGTTCGTGGGAATATTTCACTACCTTTCAATTCCATTTTCCCATGACATTTTAGAGGCTTCCTCGTGCATCTGTAAGTTCATTTTATATTAGGACACAAAGAGTCTTCTTTTTATTTTTTGCATCTACTGTATGAATGGATCATGATTTATTCAAAGTTTCCTATTGATGGTTGTTTTGGTTGTTTTCATTCATTTTCAGGGATAAACAATGCTGCAATGAATAATTTTGTTTGTATATCATTTCACTCATGTGACTTTTTCTTCTAGACATAGAATTGCTAGATCAGAGGATATATGCTTAGACTGCATCTTCTAGAGGAGCAAAATCAGTGAAGTTTATATGTGGTGGTGGTGTGCTGTGGAGTCGGTTCCTACTCTGCATATATGGTTTCAGAGGCCGTAAATTTCTGCAAGAGCAGAAAGCTTCATCTTTCTCTCACGGAACAGCTGGTAGTTTTTAACTGCTTACCTTGATGTTAGCAGCCCTACTGGTAACTACTTCACTACCAGAACTCTTGGAAGTCCTGGTATGGCACTGTGGGTTAATGCATTGGACTGCAAAGTCGATTTGAACCACAAGGTCAGTGGTTTAAGCTCGCCAGCCAGTCCTCGGAAACCCTATACAGGGTCGCTATGGATCAGTCTTTGTTAAGACCCCATAGCACTTAACAAAAAATGAATATATATACATAAAGATTTCTTTCAAAGAAATGGTTCACAGTTACGAATGCTGGTAAGTCCTAAATTCATGGGTCAGGAGCCAGGCTGGTGGCTTCTCCGTGTTCGCAGGTTGCAGGGGCGGAAGAACCCAAAATTGGCAGGTTAGATGTCAGGGTGCTAGTTCATGTCCCAAATATCAGAGGTCAGAGAATGAAGAGTCAGATGCAGGACTGAAAGATAGTGAGCTTTGTCAGAACATCTATATACGAGAGAGCTTCCAAAAGTTCATGGAAAAATTCCATTATCTTTTTCTATGAACTTTCTGAAGCCCCTCATAAGTTGGATGAAGGTCACACCACCAAGGAAACTGACTGGCTTTCAACCGATTGACTGCTCACATCAGATCACAAAATGAATTATGATTATGTTGTATTACATTATGGAAGAGCAATCAGTTCAATGTCTGCCAAACCACTGAGAATCATTGCCTAGCCACATTGACAACATAACATTATAACCATCACATGTACATTTATGATTTTGATAGTTGTCTTAGTTCTGTAGTGCTGATAACAAACACCCCAAGTGGATGGCTTTAGCAGACAGAAATTTATTCTCTCTAGAAGTCTGACTTCAGGGTGCCAATGCTAGAGAAAGGCTTTCTCTCTATGTCAGTTCTGGGGGAAGATTTTCATCTCCTTTCAACGTCTGTGGACCTGGAATTCCATGTGTCTTGGTATCTATACATCTTCCCCTGGGTCAGCGAGTCCTAAGGATGCCCTCTTCTTGCAGCTCTTCTTTCTTGGGAATATTGAAGTCCTCCCTTCTCTGTTTGCTTCTCTCTCCATTTATGTCTTGTAAGAGAAAGGTGATACAGGGCACAGCTCAGGGAAGCTCCCTTACATCAGATTAGGACTGTGACCTGAAGAAGGGTATTTCACCCTAATCCTCTGGCAACAGATCGGTTTATCACATCAGATCATCACATCATTACATAACTGCCAAATTATACCACTAAGAATCATGGCCCTGCCAAGTTGACATGTATTTTGGGGAGACAGCTCAATCTATGACACCAATTTTTAGGTCTATCTATCAATGTTTTTCTATTGTGTGTATATTTTGCATTATATTTGTGGCTGTGTTAATTTTTTACTATCTTTCATTTGGTTTATTTATTCTTTATTTCTAACTTCTTAAGATGGATGCTTATTAGCTCATTCATTTTTTAACCCTCTTTACTCATATAATCTAAGACTATGACATTTCCATAAAGTATTCCTTTTCCTATATCTTATATTTTCATATCTCAAATTTTATTACCTCTCAGTTTCAAGTACTAGAGTGTCTGCTATAATTTCTTCTTTAACATACTTAGAAATGTGTTAGAAATAAAAGAACATAAACTATTTAGAAATTTGCTTTTTTATTTTTGAAAATAGCTTTATTTAATTATAATTGGCATCAGTAAAACATGCATATTTGAAGTATACAATTTGGGAAGTCATATACATACACCAGTACTGTAATCAAAATAGTAAACATATGCTTTACCACCACCCATAAAGTTTCTTCATACCCCTTTCCAATCCCTCTCTGTCTCCTCTTGTCACTGTGAGTAGTGTACAGTTTTTAGAATTTTATATAAGAAGGATCATACACTAGGTACTTTTTGTGTGTGTGTGTGTGTCTAGCTTCTTTCACTCATACTAACTTTTTTCCACCTTCAATTTATCCATCTTGTAGCATATTTCAGTAATTTATTTCTTTTTGATTTCTAAATATTCCATTTTATGGATATACCAAAATGCATTTATCCATTTATTTATGAGGGATATTTGGGTTGTTTTCAGTTTTGGGTTATTATGAATAAAACTTTATAAATACTTGTGTACAAGTTATGCTTTAATTTTCTTTGATTAAATAATTAGGAATAAATGGTTGGATATGGTGAGTATATATTAAATGTTATAAGATACGACCAAAATGTTTTCCAAAGTGATTGTCCCATTTTACTTCTCATCAGGAATGTCTGAGAGATGTAATTCCTTCACATCCTCATCAACACTTGATATAGTCTGTCATTTTAATTTTAGCCATTCTAATAGTATGTCTAGGTGTGGCGCTGTAGGATAACTACTTAACCACAAGGTTGGTTTGACGTGTAAAGTTGGCAGTTCAAACCCACCAGCTGCTCCTCAGAAACACTATACAGGGTCACTCTGGGTTGCAGTCAACTAGACGACACTTAATAACACCAACAACAATAACTAATGATGTTGAGCATCTTTTCATGTACTTAATTAGTACCCTTATATCTTCTTTGGAGTCTTGGTGTGGCACTGCAGAATAAGCACTGGACAGCAAGATTGGTTTAAACCAAAAGGTTGACGGTTCTAACTTACCAACAGCTCCTTGGAAACCCTATACAGGGTTGCTATGAGTTGGAACCAACTCTATGGCACTTAACAACAACAACTTTGCTCTTTTGTCAAAAATAATCTGCCTATATATGTTTGGAGTTATTTCTATATAAGATCGATCTATTAGTCTGTCTTGCTGCCAAACCACACTAGTTTGATTTTTGTAGCTTATAATGATACTTAAAATCTCTAAGTCCTCCAACTTTGTTTTTCCTGATCAAAATTGTTTATACTAGATCTTTTGTGTTTCCATCTGGATTTGGGCATCATCTTATCAATTGCTGCAAAATAGCACATAGGAAGTTTGGTTATGTTGAAACTACAGGTGAATTTTGAGGAAATTGACATCTTAATCATATTGTTTCTTGATTGTTCTAGTAGCTTTTTTGGATTTCATTGTTTTTTTCTACACAGACAGTCATGTGGTCTGCAAATAGTTTCATTTCTTCCTTCCCTGTCTTGATGCCTTTTTAAAAATTTATTCTTCTGTCCTGATTGTTCTGACT